GACATGCTGCTGCTGAGTCTGTAGGTGGAGCACAGAGGCCGTCACAGGAGGGTTCCCATGTCTTTCCAGCTGATGTCGAGATCCTCTGGTAAGCTGGAAGTCTCGCGCTAAGTGCAGATCCTCACTGCTTGTATTCAAAATACCCACTGGGTGAAGTGGGAAGCCGCTTGTCTTGGGAAGTGCGTTAAGTCGCGTAGCGAGCAGGGACCGCTGCCCCTTTACTTCATGGTTTACATGACGCAGCAGCAGACCTTTATCCTGTGCTGGGTGGGCCTCAGCAGGAAACTGGACCCTGCCTTCCAGGGTGCACAGGACATCGGGCAGAGGACGCTAGGGGGGCGTCAGAGGGGGCTTCATGCTGAGGATTAGAACACAGGCCGTGGGAACAAGCAACCCAGGGCCTCAACCCAGCCCTGCAGGTGGAGGAAGGCTTCCTGGAGGGTCCTGCGGCTGAGCTGGAAGGGGAGACCACCCGCTGGGGCAGCAGAGAATGGCCTCGCAGGCAGAAGAAACAGGGCCCACAGAGCTGGGGTGGGTGGGGAGGGGTGCTGGAGGAGGGGGTGCCAGGGGAGAGGGTGCAGGGAAGGGCAGGCTGGGGTGCTGGGGGAGAGGGCCCAGGGGAAGTGAGGGTGGCAGGCAGGGGCGTTGTGGGAGGGGCCATCCTAGGCCAGCCAGGGAGGGACAAGACTGGGTCGCACTGAAACAGGTGGTTAGCGCTGCGTGTTCTGTATTAACAGAAAAAACGCAAGTGAGGAAGTGGTCTTCACGTCACACAATAGTAGGACTGTCACTTGGACATCTATCACGTTTTAATGCATTTAAGATGCATTTCATTTTAAAGGCAAGGAAGGAATGTGCCATTTAAGGCGAGTCCGAGTTGCCTTACTTGGTGAGCAGCCCTTCCCTGAGCCCGCCAGCACCCCCGGCGGCACCAGCACAGCCTCCGTTTCTAAAGCGGGTTTGCATAAAGACGCTCGGGCAACCACCCGGTGCTCCACCCGCACACCCCAGGTGACGGTGCTCCTCGGGGGCCTGTGAAGCGCTGGGATGTGAAAAGGCTGGCACTCTCGTCAGGGGGCCAGAGGCAGATGAGCCAGGAAGACGGTCACAAAGCCCGTCACGCACCTTAGTAGCTCCTAAGGTCCCGGGCGGTGCAATGGTTTACAGCCCGCCGGCTGCTGACCGAAAGGCCGGGGCTTGGAGCCACCAGAACCCAGGCCTGGCCATCTGCCCCCAGAAAGATGACAGCCTAGAAAACCCTGTGGGGCAGTTCTACTCTAACACACAGGGCCACAACGAGTCGGAATCAACCGGACGGCAATGAGGGACGACCGCTAATGCTGGCTTACGTGGCCAGTTTGACTTCTCATCCCGAAAACCGACAAGCACCCCAAGTCCCAGTCCTGGGAACTAGGGGCTGGCGGGGGGGCGTGGAAAAGGAGTTTTAAGTTTCTTCATTTGCAAGTTTGGCAAAATAAATCCCACCAACTTCACAGGGCTGTGAGGACTGCATGTGTTCTGTGGTGGGTCTCAGATGTTTGGGCCTCAGGACCCCTTTATCATCTTAAAAACTATTGCTGCCGCCAAGGAGCTTTTGTTCAGGGAAGGTATAGCCACTGACGTTTAATGCATTAGAAATTAAAACTAAGAAATTTAGTATGTATTTATTTAACAATAGGAAACCCATAAAATGTTAATGTAAATAACCATTTTTATGAAAAACAGTGTTTTCCAAAACAAAAGAAAACAGACCTCAGTGAGAAGGCCGGCCTTGTCAGGGGGCCAGCTTCACACGAGACCGCTCTCCCGCTTCCATAGTCGCGGTGATGGTTTGCGCCGGAGCCCATGAGGGCAGACACGGCCGCACGAAGGTGTGCAGCTGGAAAAGGGAGAAGTATTTTAATTGCCTTTCCACAAAGCTGTGGATATTCTGGGACTACACCAAAACCCGTCAACACTTTGTTACTGACCGTTGTTGACCTCGTGCCCGTGCACGACGCTGGAACGTCACACTGACATTGGGTCAACGCCGGTTTGCTGAGCCGCGCAGCTTCCAAGAGCGGACACGTTCCAGAGTTCGGTGTCACGTTCATTTACAGCACCACCCATCTCAACAGCAGAGTTTCTGGAAGCTGTCAAACTCGTGGTGAATGCAAGTTTTCAGAAATCCAGCTTCTATGTTGAAAACGCAGATTTTACTGTTGGCAACCACCACCACCAGTTGCTCCACAGGGAGGGGTGGCTCTGTCTGCACGTGACCACGTCTGAGTCACCGGCCTGTCTGCCGGTCACGCCGGGGCCACGCGGGCTCACAGAGACGGGGGGCTCGTGTGGTTTCAGCGGCCCTCGCCCCTCGTTCTTTTAAGTGCCCGTGTGTCTGTCCTCTGCTGCCACACGGGACGCCACGCACGGGGAGATGTGGTGGCGTTAATCCCTGCTGCCTCTCCAAGGCCGTGTGACAGTGGTGCTTTTTCCATTGCCAAGTGGGGTGTGAAGAACGTGGGAGCAGGAGCGCCGCTCCCGATTCACGCTCAGACCCGGGACTTTTCCCGCAGTGAAGACCCGTGACCCACGGGCCCTGAAGGGCCTTGAGGACCCGGCCCGGGAAGCACTGGTCACAGATCAAAACCAGCGGCGTCAGCACACAGTAAACGCTGCTCCTCTTCCGGCCCAAGAACTGACGGCCCACACGTTCTAAGCGGCCGCCTGTCTCCAGTCCCTTGGCTGGTGCTTTTGAGGACCCCATCCTGCAAGAAGCACCTCCAATTAGAGAAACACCTCTCCACGCGCACAAAGGAGTGGTTACGAGCTTGGCTGCTAACCAAAAGGTCAGCAGTTCGAATCCATCAGCTGCTCACTGTGAACCCTATGGGTCAGTTCTATGGGGCTGCTGAGTTGGAACTGACGTGGCGGCAATGGGTTTTTGTTTAGAGTTTACCCGGTGCCCCTAGCCCCACACCCAGTCCCTCAGTGGAGCTGTTTCACCAATGTCAGACGAGGAAGAACACAGGTGTGATGGTCAAGGCCGTGTGTCAGCTTGACTGGGCCACGGTTCTCAGCGGTTTGGTAGTCGTACGATGACGCGATCACTTCCGTGATGAGATGTGATATAATGCACGCACCTCCGTGATGGGATCTGCTGTGACTAGCCAATCAGTTGAAAAGGAGTTTCCTTGGGCGTGGCCTACATTTAATGTAGGTGGACATTCTGGCAAGGCTCCTGGGCTTTTGCTCACTCTGGATCCTGCAGCTGGCTCCTGTCCATCTGACCTCTGGTTCTTGGAACTTGAACTAGCAGCTTACCTGCCATCTTGCCTGCTGGGATTCGTTGGTCTTCCCAGCCTGTGAGCAAGAGCTCTGCTCTCTGACCTGCTGATCTGGGGTTCGCCAGGCCCTGTGGCTATGGGACTGAGGAGAAGCCTCTATCCTGACCCATGGACTTGGGATGTTCCAGCCTCTACAACCGTGTGAGCCATTTCCTTGATATAAATCTCTCTGTATTTATACGCTTTACTGGTTTCGCTTCTCTTGAGAATTCAAGAAACGCAGTCCCGTGGAACAGACACAACAGGGCTCTAACAGAAAGCCCTACCAGAGGCCTTGGTACTTTTTTACTTTAGAGTGACTTTTTAACAAAACCAAACAATTTCTGCAGCCCTCACGAAGATGGCGCAGGACCAGGCAATGTCTCGTTCTGTTGTATGTAAGGTTGCGCTCGGTCTGAGCCGCCTCGACGGCAGTGAACAACAGCGAATGAGGAATTGCGATCCCCCAAGTGAAACGTGGGTCCCGCCTGGGAATCTGTCCCAGCGTCAGCCCCACACACAGGGGAGGGGAGGAGGGGGCTCCTCAAAGTACAGAGCTATGGAATCTGACAAGTGGTTTAGAACTTGAAGAAAAAAAGGAACACGTCACTTTGAAGAGACGCTTTTAGAGAAATCAAATCAAAGCTTTAAGATGGTTTGTGTGCGACCAGATAGCAACTTCTGTGGTGCTCACCCGTGGAAGGTGGGGATTGGTCTACAGGTTCTACTGATACCACCACGGACCCCTGGTTGCGATGCTGGTCCAAAGAGAGTTGCTGTATGTTGTCTGTAGGCTAGAATGAGCCCCTGTAAGCGAACGCGTCCAAACTAGTGTCTGAGGTGTTCACGCTGACTCGGTTCTAAATCTAAACAATCTACAGTCGAAGCGCTGATGCTGCACATCGAATGCAGCACAGACCACAAGAGCGTGAGCTGCTGGTCGCTTTACGATGATACACACGAGTGCGTGCTCGGCAGGGTCACGCTTTCGACACTCCACCGTGTCTTCCGTGAACACGCTGTGATCGTGATGAACGCCCCGGGCACTCACCCGTCAAGCCGGATGTTCAGCAGAGCAGCGAGCGCACTGCAGAGACCACAGCGGCCCAGCGTGGCCTGTCCCCAGGCACGTCAGTGCGGCCACACAGGAGGCCCACCCGTCCCGTCGGCAGCTCTGCGCCCCCTGGGGGCACGCACTGAACCTTCCCATCCAGATCATTCAGCTAGAAAGGTCAGAGCCACACGGGCAAACCTGCAGAAAGGTAGAGGGCAGGAGAGGGGAGCCCTGGAGCCCGACCGCCTGGGATCTTCCATCTGATCAGTTTCCCCCTCGTTTTCTACAAATTTGCTCTGACCTCTGCAGCTGCTGCCCATCTGGTGAGAAACCGTCACCCGCATTCTGAGTCACCTGCTGAGCTTGCGGCCTGCAGGGCGCTCTGCCCGTTGGGGCACCGACTCCACAGCCGAGCAGGTGGTGTTCAGGGTGGGGCCCGGCCGAGTAAAACCTTCGGGACAACACGAAGATTAGACCCAGACACTGGCCTCGCTCCCACGGCAGTGACGTTCTGGGCTACACCGGTGCAGCCTGATGTTAGCGCTTCCCCATCCCCTAATTTTGGGGGTGGCGGTACCTGTCTCTGAAGGGTCTCTACAGTCAAGGCCCCACCCGTTTAACCAAGGGTGGCACGTACACCGCAGAGCACTGAGCCCACACTGCTCTCAATGCTACAGTAACTCGCTGGGAAACCCTCCACGGTAAAAGCCCCCAACATTGCTCTCTGCAGCTCCCTTAAACGAAGCCCGCTCAGACTCCTTCACTTAAGGCAGCGTTTGAGCAACGCTACAATGACGGGGTCTCACACTCGAAAAGCAGAAGAGAAAGGCTGTTTAAAGATCCTTTAATGGAACGAATGCAAACGATTATGGAAACAGTATCCCTAAAATTACATGTCTTCAAACAAGTGAAACTACGGTCCCCAGACAGCTGTTCCATTACAGCACCTACGTGTCTGACGAAGGAAGTAACGATGACCAGCTGCACACGCATCCCAGGCCGCCGGCTATTTAAACGCACAGCAGGGATCTCGTTCCACCCGCGCTCGCGCCGTCTTTACTCTTCGGATTCTCCAGGCTTACGGATGTCATCGATCTTCAGAATCATCCGAACCATCTGTGTTGCAAGTGATATCTGTTGCTTTTTGCCAATCAAGGTTTCTATGACATGCTGCTGCTTCATATCTGAAAACACACAAACGAACCGATTACCCTCAACCAGCACGTGCACTCCTAAGAGCGGTAACTCACGCCGACGTGTGCAGCCAGAGCTTCAGGAATCCCTTACTGGGGTGGGGCGGCGAGGCCAGCTGTCGGCCACGTGTTCGGAGAACGGAATCCCATTCCTGCCCGCACCGGCCGAGTGAGCCCGGTTACCAGAGC